GGGAGGGGCCCAGGGGGTGAGGGGCCCAGGCTCCAAAAAAAAAAAAAAAAAAAAAAAAAAAATATGAAGGACAGATTTATCCTTTTGACTAGGTTATTAAAAAATGTGAAGTAAAGATTCACCCTTTTGACTAGGTTATAAAAGCATGTGAAGTAAAGGACAGAGTGATACAATTTTTATCAGGAAAAATACACTCTCAAAAAAGCACACTTGACACTTCCATGGTTATACTTATAACCAGTAATTGGTTCAACATAAAGAAGATGGTGTCTATACTACAAAATATTTTTCCCAAGGATAAAGTTCTGATCAAAGCTTTTATTCACTACTAAGAAATTAATTTTAGTCTGCATCTTAAATTTTAATGTCCTTTTTAAAATTGAAATATAGTTGATTTACAATTTCTGCTGTACAGCAAGGTGTACTTTTTAAGTATAAATTATCCTCAGAGCTACTTCTAGTATCTTCCAAATGTTCAATTACTCTGTGTACTGCACTGTGTTATCAACGCTTATTTATATTTTCTGTTCTCCTAAGAGGTTTCCTTCTTGAGGGCTGTAACCATGACTCATCTTTGCATTTACAGAACTTAGAACAATGCATAGCACATAGCAGTACACAGCAAATTTTAATGAATTGCATTCAAATTCTAAAATACCTAAGTAATTATTAAATAATTTTAAGATTATTATTGAATTTCTATTCCTCTATATTTACTTTCTATTCAAATACATGACAAAGGTCACTGAGACACAATATTGCCTTTAAAGATCTCAACTCAAGCAAAGAGAAATAAACCATAGGTACATAACTAAGCACAATGCATGTATGTACCAGAGGACTATAGATAAAATCTGTAGCTATAAGAATAAGAGCAAGTTTTGTGGAGAAGGCTGTGCCTGAGCCTTGATTTGCAGAAAGGGTTGGATTTGGACGTGCAGAAATGAGAGGGTGAAAACAAAATTAGGGGCAGCAAACCACAGGTACATAAAAGAAAAAAATGTTCGTCTTTGTTGAAATAAGCCTGGGTAAAGGGCAGTGTGCTAAACAGAATTTTTAAATGTATATTTGGGTCCAAATATTAGAAGGGCTTGAATGGCAATGTAAAATATATGCGATTTTTTCTTTCTTACAAGTGTAAGAGCCTAAATATTTTTGACCAGGGGAATAACATGATCAGAACTGTAACAGGGAAATTTAACCAACTACAGAGAATAACATAGTTGAGAGCTAATGATGGGTACAGCAGTAAAAATGGTTAAGAAGGTAAGAATAAAAAGAGATATAATAGATATCAAAGGACAGAATTATCTGTACTTTTGCAACAAGGTGAAACTACAAGCAAATAGTCGAATATAAATCATGATTTTAGGTCTAAGAAATGCCAACCAGCTTTATTTAATGCTTACTGAGGCTCTCTGCATGTTAGGAAAGAATAGATTCGGGAAAGATTCAGTCTTACGTTCAGAGAACATGAAAGTTTGAAATTTCTGTTTAGCACCACAAGTGGGACTGGAAACTTGAGAAGGGCCAGAAAACGCAGTCGAGAAGCATGACAAAGATCAGGAGACAAAAAACAAAGAAGAGCGTTTCAAGAATAAAGGTGCAATGAGCTGTGTCAAATGATGCAAAAAGGACATGTATAATAAAAATTAAGATCATTGGGGCTTCCCTGGTGGCACAGTGGTTGACAGTCCACCTGCCAATGCAGGGGACACGGGTTCATGCCCCCGTCTGGGAAGATCCCACATGCCGCGGAGCAGCTGGGCCCGTAAGCCATGGCCGCTGAGCCTGCGCGTTCAGAGCCTGTGCTCCGCAACAGGAGAGGCCACAACAGTGAGAGGCCCGTGTACAGAAAAAAAAAAAAATTAAGATCATTGGATTGGGGGACTTAATTAGACCATTTTTGGAAGACAGTGAAGGCAAATGGCAAAATATGAGTAGTGAGGAGTGAGAGGATCAGAGAGACAAAGATACAGATTACTCTTTCTTGAGGTTTGGAGGTTTAAAAAGAAGAGACAAGCATGTGGTTTAAAGGAAAAGCAGAATTAGGAAAAAGTTTTGCATAGGATAGGGTAATCTCATGTTTATAAGTTGTGAAAACGTGCTAATAATTAACTCTGAACCATTAACACATGTTCCACAGTCAGAATTTCAAAACAATCTTTAAACTTAGGTAATATGAACTTTGACCTTGGGAATCTGGTGATTGAGATAGTAACATAAAACAAATAGTGTGCTAGAAAAGAAAGTCTCTAGAACTTACCAAGTGTGGATGCTTTTTGTACCTAGTGGACATTTATCTAATGATCTGCACATACTTATTACACACAGGGAGTTTCAAACAAAGCCCATCTCTTTTAACATATTTTCATACATCCCTTTTTAAAAAAAAAAAATTTCTACTTCACAACCGACAACACCAATACCCTAATACCAGACCAAGAATCCAACAACTCAACGGACTGCAAGTACTACCAATTTGAAAAAATAATTATATAATTTATTTTCTAAGAAATTTAATATATACTTTTAAACAATTTTCATTTTATTGAAAAATAAGATTATCTCCAAAATTAAAGGGGGAAAACTAAACCAGGAAATTATGGGCTCCACAAAATCTCATTTCTGCTATTGTTTAGTCTAATATCTGAATAACAACACCAAAAACTAAAACAAATCATAATAAACAGAATTTGGAATAGCTGTTTTAAACACCGATGTACTATAAAGTGATAAAATAATTACAATTAAAAAAAAACAGGGCTTCCCTGGTGGCGCAGTGGTTGGGAGTCCGCCTGCTGATGCAGGGGACACGGGTTCGTGCCTCAGTCTGGGAAGATCCCACATGCCGCAGAGCGGCTGGGCCCCTGAGCCATGGCCGCTGGAGAGGCCACAGCAGTGAGAGGCCCGCGTACCTCAAAAAAAAAAAAAGAAAAAGAAAAAAAAGCAGATGACTGTTTATGTCTAAGGGTTATACATAAGCAGCAATTTTTTAAAAAGCAGTAGAAGGAAGCAGAGAATGGAGAGAAAAATTGCAAGTATCCCTAAACAGTGCCAAATTCTTATACATAAGACTGCTTGGAAAAGAACAGGAAAATCAAGTGTAAAATAACCAAATTATGAAAAACTCATATTGGAATATCATATTTACTACTATAGAAGTCCTTTTTCTTTAATTTTCTCAATGATGCTGAAAACTTGTAAAGTTACACAGTTCAAATATTACGGTACTATAATATGAAATCTGCAAGACTGGAATATGAATTCATTAGTATCAATGTTAATAACTTGAAATTCTAATTCACTGAGTAATAAGGAATGCTTCTGCCCTAAAATTAACCTCTACTGTGTCTTCATAAAACTATACGTTTCTATATATTTTCCTTCCTTTTAAGAACTAAATCCATTCAATCCTTATTATTCACACATTACAAATTTGTGAATTCACCTACTCACTAAAATTTATTTGTAAACCCAAATCAATACTTGCAGCACTTTCATCGTCATTCAAAAGGAAATGCACATTTAGGCCTTTAATCCATTTTAAGTTTATTTTTGTGTATGGTGTTAGGGAGTGTTCTAATTTCATTCTTTTATATGTAGCTGTCCAGTTTTCCCACCACCACTTACTGAAGAGGCTGTCTTTTCTCCATTGTATATTCTTGCCTCCTTTATCAAAAATAAGGTGACCATATGTGCATGGGTTTATCTCTGGGCTTTCTATCCTGTTCCACTGATCTATATTTCTGTTTTTGTGCCAGTACTATACTGTCTTGGTTACTGTAGCTTTGTAGTATACTCTGAAGTCCAGGAGCCTGATTCCTCCAGCTCCGTTTTTCTTTCTCAAGGTTGCTTTGGCTATTCAGGGTATTCTGTGTTTCCATACGAGAAATGGAAATAAACACAAAAATAAACAAATGGGACCTAATGAAACTTGAAAGCTTTTGCACAGCAAAAGAAACCATAAACAAGACCAAAAGACAGCCCTCAGAATGGGAGAAAATATTTTCAAATGAAGCAACTGACAAAGGATTAATCTCCAAAATTTACAAGTAGCTCATGCAGTTCAACATCAAAAACACAAACAACCCAATCCAAAAATGGGCAGAAGACCTAAACAGACATTTCTCCAAAGAAGATATACAGATTGCCAACAAACACATCAAAGGATGCTCAACATCACTAATCATTAGAGAAATGCAAATCAAAACTATAATGAGATATCACCTCATACCAGTCAGAATGGCCATCATTAAAAAATCTACAAACAATAAATGCTGGAGAGGGTGCGGAGAAAAGGGAACCCTCTCGCACTGTTGGTGCGAGTGTAAACTGATACAGCCACTATGGAGAACAGTATGGAGGTTCCTTAAAAAACTAAAAATAGAATTATCATATGACCCAGCAATCCCACTACTGGGCATATACCCGGAGAAAACCATAATACCAAAAGAGTCATGTACCACAATATTCATTGCAGCTCTATTTACAACAGCCAGGATATAGAAGCAACCTAATTGTCCATAGACAGATGAATGGATAAATAAGATGTGGCACATATATACAATGGTATATTACTCAGCCATAAAAGGAAATGAAATTGAGTTATTTGTAGTAAGGTGGATGGACCTAGAGTCCATCATACAAAAAAAAAAAAAAAAAAAAGGCCCTAAAAAAAAGGTCCTGAAGAACCTAGGGGCAGGACAGGAATAAAGACACAGACGTACTAGAGAATGGACTTGAAGACATGGGGAGGGGGAAGGGTAAGCTGGGACAAAGTGAGAGAGTGGCACATATATGCACTACCAAATGTAAAACCAATAGCTAGTGGGAAGCAGCCGCATAGCACAGGGAGATCAGCTCGCATAGCACAGGGAGATCAGCTCGGTGATTTGTGACCACCTAGTGGAGTGGGATAGGGACGGTGGGAGGGAGGGAGACGCAAGAGGGAATTGATATGGGGATATATGTATGTGTACAGCTGATTCACTTTGTTATAAAGCAGAAACTAACACACCATTGTAAAGCAATTATACTCCAATAAAGATGTTAAAAAAATTAAAAAGAGTAAATGCACAGAGATGTGAAAAGTTTGAGTCGCCTGACACACATCCCAGCAGAAGTCAAACAAAGCAACGTTCTGCCTCCCTGCTTCAGCTCTCATTATCATAAACAAATGTCTGTTTGGTGGTCTCTCTAGTGCCACATTTTTTGCATTTTTATACTTTTTATTGGTGATTTTGTTGTTTAAAATAGCTCCCATGCATACTGCTGAAGTGCTGTTTCGTGTTTCTAAGAGCAAGAAGACTGTATGTGCCTTATGGAGAAAATCTGTGTCACATAAGCTTCATTCAAGCATGAGTTACAGCGCTGTTGGCCATGAGTTCAATGTTAATGAAACAACTATAGACTAAAAAAGGTGCCATTAAACAGAACCAGACAAAAAACAAAGTTGTGTTCTACTGCAAATAACAAGAATCAACTGTACTATGTCAGCAACCCACAATTCAAATGACAGTTTTAGAACTCTGAAATGTTTCACATACATAAATTTTCCAAGAGGAGACACAAACATGCAAGATTTTTATCTCTTTATCATGGTGGACTTTCTCCTTCCTAAAAGTCAAAGACCATAGAAAGTCATGTTCTATATAGCCATTTTCCTTACATTGATAGCTAAAGCACATAGCTGATATTGTTCTAATGTGATAATTTCATGATAACAGGGTTCCTGTGCCAGCTTCACAATAGCACTCCCAGCAGCAAGTCTCAGACGTGACATATCTGGTTTACTGAAAAATAAGCAAGAAAGAATGTGAATTAGATTTCTAAATGTCTGCACAAAAACATTCCTACTTTGAATATTTAATTTTATAAAAATTCCTCTGGCCAAGAAAAAAAAAGGGCAGAAAACAATTTAGTGATACTGAACACCATATTATACTTCCTTAACTTCTCTAAGATGGTGTGTAATGCCACGAAATTCTTCCCTTGAACATAAGTCTATGCTAGTCATTGAATTCTCTTATCCCACACAAAAGAGCTTTCAGCCAAGCCTAGAACAAATATATTTGTATGTTTAGTTGTTAGGTCTTAAGTCTTCCACTACAGATTTTTTTTAAAATATGTGTTTACTTATACATTAGGCATAAAATATCCTAACTTCCTAATCAGTCAACTAAAACTATGGTGCTAAGTACAAAAGAAGTGGAATGAAAGCAGGTGTAGTGGATAAAACATTACTACTTTTAGCTAGTATTCAATCTTTGAAATACCCCCAAGAGCCTATATTTAAGTTTAAGGAAAGAAATTTTTTGCTAAATGGGACATACTTAAACAATTAGGAAATTCCTGACTAGTAAATATACTTAAACAATCCTTCCTAATACACTGACATGTTAGATGAATTACTAATGTAACTGGACTAATGTACGGAGGGAAGCTGTAACTCCTTAATTAGGATCCCCTATGTAGTTCCATAGTAAAAGATTATTATTTAATATTCATACAACAAATATGTGTCAATTTTATATACGGTACTGAGAGGGACTTAAAAGAGACAAATCTCAGTCTTCCATGATCTAGTTGGTTTAAGACTCTTCCTTTATCTTTCTAAGGATTTTGTAAAAATATTTATTGAATGTATGCTGACATTAATAAGGTTCTGAAGTTACAGGTCCCAGAGGTGCTTTTCAGTTCATCAACAGCAATATTCCAAGTAGTTATTATAAGGTAAATCACCAAACCACTGCTAAGGAAGTCTGATTTTTCTTGTTGGAGTTTTTTTAGTATAAATAAAAAATAAATAATTACAATACTTTACAACTACGTTTTTGAAGACCCAGTTTAAAAACAGAGACCCAGTGAGTGCTCCTGCAGCGGGACATGTCAGGTCTTAGCAGCTGCAGGCTCTGTGGGCAGGTACACATGGGGGCTGGGCCGGGCTAGGGTCTGAGCTGCCTCCACAGCTCCCACAGCGGGTCCAGGTGCACGACTACTGCAGTCCTGAGACCTGACTTCAGTGGATCTGCACTGGTGGCCTTGTGGAAACAACTCCTTAGAGAAACCAGGGACGACTGCTGGCATACCCACAGTTGAGGTGGGGCCGAGGGCAGTACCAACAACAGTGTACTTTGTGAGTCTGCACAACAGGTGAAAGGTGACACAAAAGAGCACACTCGGTTGAACAGCTCCAGTGGAAGAACACTCAGTGGCTCCTCTCCCAGTGGGAGCATTCCAATCCCACCTACCTTGCACCACAGCTTAGAAACGTTATCTGGGGCTTCTACTCCAACAACTAGGGAGCAGACCCTGCCCCGACAAGGCAATGACAACCACAGAGCAAAGAGAAGGCCCTGGTCAATATCCTGTGCAGGCTCTGGTCACCACAACATCAGTCACACCTCCTATCAAGGGGATAATGGCCAGCATACACTGAGGAAAGGGGTGGCAGGCATCCATACTAAAAACAGCCCTCACATCAAAAAATATTAAACCCATGCAGGCTACACAGGGACATTCCCACATAAAAATACCCTCCAAGACCACAGTATATAACTGTTTCTCCTAAACTCATAGAGCAAGAGAAATATAAGTAAAATGAAGAAGCAGAGGAACCATTCCCAATTAAAAGATCAAGAGAATTCCCCTGAAAGAACAACAATGAAACAGACTGCTTCAATCTAACAGACACCAAGTTCAAAAAGGAGATAATGAAAATACTGAAGGAATTAAGAAAGGCTATAGACAGAGATGCAGATTACTGTAAGAAGGACCTAGAAACTATAAGGAAGAGCCAAGAAAAAATAGAGAATTCATTTGAAGAGATGAAAGCTGAACTAAAGGCTATGAATAGCAAAATGAATACTGCAGAAGAAGGAATAAGTGATGTGGAAGATAGAATAATGGAAATCACCCAGTTAGAACAGCAGACAGAAACCCAAATGAAACAAAAAATGAATATAAAGCGTGTCAATCTACGCATAATAGGGATTTCAGAACAAGAGGAAAGAGAAAAAGAGATTGAAAATGTATTTGAAGAAATTAAGGCTGAAAACTTCCCAAGCCTAAAGAAGGAAAGAGATATCTAGATACAGGAAGCAAAGAGGGTCCCAAACAAGATAAACCCAAACAGACTTACACCAAGACATATTATAATAAAAATGGCAAATTTTAAAGATAAAGAGAGGACTCTACAGGCAGCAAGAGAAAAACAAAGTGTTAATTACAGGGAAACTTCCATAATGCTATCAGTTGATTTCTCTACAGAAACGTTGCAGGCCGGAAGGGAATAGCAAGATATATTCAAAGTCCTGAAAGGGAAAAATCTGCAACCTAGGATACTCTGCCCAGCAAAATTATCACTTAGAATAGAAGGAAAGATAAAGAATTTCTCAGACAAACAAAAACTATAAAAGAATACAGCAACACTAAACCTATCCTAAAGGAAATGCTGAAAGGTCTTCTCTAAGTAGAAAAGATGTTAAGAATCTATAGGAAAGAGAAAGTCATAATTGGAAAGTAAATCACTTAAATAAGCAAGTACACAGATTAACAAAACATCAAAAAATTTCTGTGAAAGCGATGATTACCACAATGAACAGCGGAAGTGTGAACATGAAGACGTAAAAGAGGACATCAAAGTCATAAAATGTGGCGGAGGAGAGTAACAAAACATACATATTTTTGTTGAATTTGTTTGAGCCTGTATGACTACCAGTCTAAAGCAAGGAGACACAGGAAAAGTGTTAACGTATTTGAAAAACAGGGCAACCACAAATCAAAAACATACAATAGATTCACAAAAACAAAAAGGAAGAGAACGTAAGAATAACACAAAAGGAAATCATCAAACCACAAAAGGAAAAAGGAAAAGAAAGGGACAAAGAAGAAATATAAAATCAATGGGAAAACAAGGTTTAAAATGACAATAAATACATATCTATCAATAATTACCTTAAATGTCAATGGACTAAATGCTCCAATCAAAAGAGTGGCAGATTGGATAACAAAACAAAACAAAACAAAACAAGAGCCTACAATATGTTGCCTACAAGAGACCTACTTTAGGGCAAAGGAGACACACAGATTGAAGTGAGGGGATGGAAAGATATTTCATGCAAACAAAAATGACAAGAGACAGGGGGTCAAAATACTCATATCAGACAAAACAAACTTTAAAACAAAGGCTATAAAGAAAGATAAAAAAGGACACTACATAGTGATAAAAGGATCAGTACAAGGAGAGAATATTACACTTGCCCACATATATGCACCCAATGTAGGAGCACCCAAATACATAAAACAAATACTAACACACATAAAGACAGAAACTGACAGGAATACAATAATAGTAGGAGACTTTAACACCCCATTCACATCAATGGACAGATCTTCAAGACAGAAAATCAATAAGGCAACAGAGATCCTAAATGATACAACAGAACAGTTAGATTTAATTGATATCTTCAGTACATTACATCCAAAAAAAAGAATACACATTCTTTTTAAGGGCACATGGAACATTCCCTAGGAGAGACCACATACTAGGGCACAAAACAAGCCTCAACAAATTTAAGAGTATAGAAATTATTTTAAGCATCTTTTCTGACCACAACGGCATGAGACTAGAAATCAACCACAAAAAAAGAATGAGAAAAAAAACAATTACATGGAGACTAAACAATATGCTACTAAAAAACCAACGGGGCAACAATGAAATCAAAGAAGAAATTTAAAAACGCTTTGAGGCAAATGACAATGAAAACACAACCATACAAAATCTATGGGGATACAGCAAAAGCAGTTCTTAGAGGGAAGTTCACAGCAATACAGGCCTTCTTTAAGAAACAAGAAAAATCTCAAATAAACAACCTAACCCACCACCTAAAAGAATTAGAAAAAGAAGAACAAACAAAACCTAAAGTCAGCAGACTGAAGGAGATAATAAAGATCAGAGAGGAAATAACTAAAATAGAGATTAAAAAACAATAGAAAAAAATCAAAAAAACCAAGAGCTAGTTCTTTGAAAGGGTAAACAAAATTGACAAACCTGTGGCAGGCTCACCAAGAAGAAAAGAGAGAAGATATAAATAAACAAAGTAAGAAATGAAAGATGAGAAATCACACCTGATACCACAGAAATGCAAAAAAATAAATAAATAATACTATGAACAATACTGTGAACCTAGAAGAAGCAGACAACTTTCGAGAAACATACAGCCCACCAAAACTGAATCAAGAAGAAACAGATAACTTGAACAGGCCAACCACTAGAATGATATAGAATCTGAGAAAACAAACGAACTCCTACAAACCAAAGTCCAGGACCAGATGGTTTCACTGGGGAATTCTACGAAACATACAAAAAAGAACTTATACTGATCCTTCTCAAACTCTTACAAAAGACTAAAGAGGAAGGAACACTCCCAAAGACATTCTATGAAGCCACTATCACCCTGATACCAAAACCAGACAAACAAACCACCATAAAGCAAATTATAGGCCAATATTTTTGATGAATAGACACAAAAATTATCAACAAAGTATCAGCAACCTGAATCCAACAACAAATAAAAAAGGTTATACACCATGATCAAGTTGGATTCATCCCAGGGTCACAAGGATGGTTCAACGTACGCAAATCAATCAATGTGATACACCACATCAACAAAAGAAAGGACAAAAACCACAGGATCATCTCAGTAGATACAGAAAAAGCATTTGATAAAATTTAACATCCATTCATGATAAAAACCCTTATGAAACTGAGTACAGAGGGAGCATAGCTCAACATAATAAAAGCTATTTATGACAAACACACAGCCAATATAATACTCAACAGTGAAAAGCTGAAAGCCTTCCTGCTAAAATCTGGAACAAGACAAGGATGCCCACTCTCACCACTTCTCTTCAATACAGTACTGGAAGTCCTAGCCAAAGCAATCAGAAATGGAAAAGAAATAAAAGCTATTCAAATTGGTGGGGAAGAGGTAAAATTATTGTTATACATACATAATGCTAATTATCAGAGAGCTCAGAAATAAACACACACACCTATGGACAATTAATCTTCAACAAAGGAGACATGATATTATTATATGTAGAAAACTCTAAGGACTCCACACAAAAAGTACTAGAACTGATCAATGAATTCAGCAAAGTAGCAGGATACAACATTAACATACAGAAATCAGTTGCATTTCTTTACACTAACAATGAAATATTAGAAAGGGAATGTGAAAAAACAATCCCTTTTCAAACTGTACCCCCCAAAATAAAATACTTAGAAATAAACCTGACCAAGGAGGTGAAAGACTTATATGGTGAGTACTACAAAACATTAACAAAGGAAACTGAAGGTGATTCAAAGAAATGGAAAAACATCCCATGCTCTTGGATTGAAAAGAATTAATATTGTTAAAATGGCCATACTACCCAAAGCAGTCTACAGATTTAATGCGATCCCCATCAAATTATCCATGACATTTTTCACAGAACGAAAATAAATAATCCTAAAATGTATATGGAACCATAAAAGACCCAGAATTACCAACGCAATCCTGAGGAAAAAGAACAAAGCAGGAAACCCTCCCAGACTTCAGATAATACTACAAGGCTACAGTAATCAAAACAGCATGATGCTGGCACAAAAAGAGACATATGGATCAACAGAACAGAACAAAGAACCCAGAAATAAACCCACACACTTAATCTTCAAGAAAGGAGGCAAGGGCTTCCCTGGTGGTGCAGTGGTTGAGAGCCCACCTGTCAATGCAGGGGACAGAGGTTTGTGCCCTGGTCCAGGAAGATCTCACATGCCGTGGAGTGGCTAGGCCCGTGAGCCATGGCCACTGAGCCTGCACATCTGGAGCCTGTGCTCTGAAACGGGAGAGGCCACAACAGTGAGAGGCCCGTGTACCCCCCCCCAAAAAAAAGGAAGCAAGAATATACAATGGGGAAAAAGCAGTCTCTTCAGCAAGTGGTGCTGGGAAAGCTGGACAGCTGCATGTGAATCAATGAAGTTAGAACACACCCTCATGCCATACACAAAAATAAACTTAAAATGGCTTAAAGACTCAAAGACAAGATACCATAAAACTCCTAGAAGAGAACAAAGGTGAAACATTCTCTGACATAAATCGTACCAATGTTTTCTTAGGTCAGGCTCCCAAGGCAATAGAAACAAAAGCAAAAATAAACAAATAAGACCTAATTAAACTTAAAAGCTTTTGCACAGCAAAGGAAACCACAAACAAAATGACAACCCAGAGACTGGGAGAAAATATTTGCAAATGACGCAACTGACAAGGGCTTAATCTCCAAAATATACAAACAGCTCATACAACTCCACAACAAAAAAAACAAACAACCCAATCAAAAACCGTGCAGAGGACCTAAATACACATTTCTCCAAAGAAGACATAGAGATGGCCAATAGGCACATGAAAAGATGCTCAACATTGCTAATTATTAGAGAAATGCAAATCAGAACTACAATGAGGTACCACCTCACACTAGTCAGAATAGCCATCATTAAGAAGTCTACAAATAACAAATGCTGGAGAGGTGTGGAGAACAGGGTACCCTCTTATTGGTAGGAATGTAAATCGGTAAAGCCATTATGGAAAACAATATGGACTTTCCTCAAAAAACTAAAAACAGAGTTGCCATATGATCCAGCAATCCCACTCCTGGGCATATACCCAGACAAAACTATAATTCGAAAAGATACATGCACCCCTATCTTCACAGCAGCACTATTTACAACAGCCAAGACATGGAAACAAGCTAAATGTCCACCGATAGATGAATGGATAAAGAAGATGTGGTGTATATAATGCAATATTAATGGAATATTACTCGGCCATCAAAACAGAATGAAATAATGTGATTTGCAGCAACACAAATGGACCTAGAGATTATCATACTAAGTAACTCAGAAAGACAAATACCATATGATATCACTTACATGTGGAATCTAAAATATGACACGAATCAACATTATCTATGAAACAAAAACAGACTCACAGATATAGAAAATAAACTTGTGGTTGCCAAAGGGGAGGAGGTGTAGGGGAGGGAAGGATTGGGAGTTTGGGATTAGTAGAGGCAAACTTTTATATATAGGATGGATAAACAAGGCCCTACTGTATAGCACAGGGAACTATATTCAATATCCTGTGACAAAATACAATGGAAAAGAATATGAAAAGATTTTATATATATATATATATATATATATATATATATAAATGTTTACCTGAGTCACTCTGCTGTACAGCAGAAATTAACACACCACTGTAAATCAACTATACTTCAATAAAATTAAAAAAAAAGCAGACCCAATGTAATTCAAATACATGTGCAGAGTTCAAGTACACACGTGATTTTTTATTAAAGAATACCATGGATAAAAACAGGTGAGGGACTTCCCTGGTGGTGCAGTGGTTAAGATTCCACGTGCCAATGCAGGGGACATGGGTTCAAGCCCTGGTCCAGGAAGATCCCACATGCCGTACAGCAACTAAGCCTGTGCACCACAACTACTGAGCCTGCACTCTAGAGCCCGTGAGCCATGACTACTGAGCCCACGTGCCAGAGCTATTGAAGCCCATGTGCCACAGCTATTGAAGCCCACGCACCTAGAGCCTGTGCTCCACAGCAAAAGAAGCCACTGCAATGAGAAGCTCATGCACCGCAATGAAGAGTAGCCCCTGCTCGCCGCAACTAGAGAAAGCCCGCGCACAGCAACGAAGACCCAATGCAACCAAAAATAGATTAAAAAAGAAATAAAAACAGGTGAGATCTAAATATGCACATAAACAATGTAATTAATAAATTTAAGACAAAACGTATTAATACTAAGGAAATTTTTCTCTAATTATTATGTAAATCTTGAACACTAGCATGTAATTATAAGAGTAGAAGGTGAAGACAACTAATTAGACTGAAGGAAGGTAAATAAATGAGTTATGCATATGGAATGCTTTACAGAGTTTTCTTATTATTTGATTTGTTTGAGAAGAATGTGCTACTGTTAATATTCTATGCAAAAAGTACAGCATGAGCAAAACATATAAGAAGAAAACAAAGATGGAAAAGTATTAAGCAGCTGGCAATCACCATTTATATTTTGTCCTAAAGACTTGAAGCTAGATACATATGTTAAGGTGGGGGAAGTTATTCTCACATGTTTTATTACCAATAAGAGACAATAAATGACACTTGTGTTTTCACAGAGGACAAACTTCTAAATTTTAGCTAACCTTGACATAATAACCACTATCACCATCAATACTTCTAATTACTATGTGCTGGGCAGTGTTTTAAATACATTAAATATACTAACTTATTTGATTATCATAACAGCTAGATGAGATAGGCGTAATCATTATCTCTGTTTTATAGATGAGGAAACTGAGGTACAGAGAGGTTAAAGTAACTTGCTGAAAGGCACCTCGCTGCTAAGAGGTGGTGCCAGGATTTGAATCTGGGCTCCAGAGCTCATGTTTTCAGTCACTATACTATACATCTTTCAAAGAAAACAAAATAAAACAAACAAAAAGTTATGTGTATTTTTTAAAATTTGCATCAAGTGCATTTTTCACATTTGCATATATTTATACTTCTGGAAACAGATTCAGTAAGTTGCCTTCTATCCAGTCTGTCCTTTTAGCTTTAGACATTAACAAGAATGTAAAACATCAGTTATTGATTGGTACACTAACATTTTCACATTAGATATTCAAAAAAGTAAACATCTGTTGTTTAAAATACTTAAGATTGCACAGCAGTACCTTGCACTAGACATGAGACTGTCATTTTGAAATAACCACTATACAAAAGCCTATTACAATAAAAATATATGCATACCTACAAAGCAATATTAATTATCTTTTAAAAAAGAAACCATCATTCAACAATTACACCAGACATTAAAATAGTGTGTAATCCAAAGAACTCTGAAGTTGTAATTACATACCTAATTTTCCCCTGTTCTGTCAAGTCTCCATCACTATGCAGTATTGTTGTGAGCAATCTTAAAGTAGAAGTTCCTGATTTACTGTGATTATTTTTCATTCCAAGTAGCCATCGAACCATCATTTTAATAGCCTGAATCTATTTAAAATATAAATTGACAAATAAAACATTGCTACCATTTAAAGAAATTCTATTATCAGCCTTGAAAAAGAATGAAGAAATGTTTTTAACATTTTTTAAGAAAAGGAAAGAAAAAAATTATTTTTTCTGCATGTGTGAAGATAACTTTGAATGTTTTAAAGATGTCTTACCCCCAGGTATTGACAAATGAATGATTTATCTAAAAACTGGTTCTTTTTGCTTTTTAAAAAATGTTTCCCCAACAAACACTTTACCCTTTAGAACCCACAGTAAAATCGTGCTAACTTCCCTAGTCCAGGAAGATCCCAACTGAAAATTATATTCGATCTTTTTGTGTCTAAGAGTTGATACCACCTTACATTTGTATTGCATTTGACAATTATGAAGTACTTAGTATTTTAAAACCTGTTATTGCCTCTAAGGCTTGCAACAGCCCTTTCAAAGGGGTGCATATTATCTCTTTTTCACATATTATCTTAATTTTTACAGATCTGAGGCTCCAGAGCTAAATGGGTTTTGAACAGTGGCATGTGGCTAACAGTCTTAAGATCCTCTTCCTGGGCCACTTTGTAACCATGAACTTAAGCGCAGGCGGCCCGCCTTCTAGTGCAGTGCTGCCCAATTATACAAAACTGCTGCTTGAGACCAATGCTGAGAAAACAGGCTTATACTGGAACTCAAAATTTTCAAGCATCATTCAATGATGCTAAAGGAAAGACTGCCCTACAGGTCTGGAGAAATAGTATCAGAATCTGAAGCTGCAATAATGTGACAAAGTAGTTCACAATATGAAACATAAACAAATACACATACAATGAAAGGATTTGCAAGAAATTATAATTAGAAAAACAATATTTAATATATTTGTTCCTGGCCTTTACACCTTGGGCAGTGGCTTGATATGAGGTCTACATTATGGAGTACAGACAGTTTTAGTAAAGCAATACTTTACAGCTGTGATGAGCAATCCTTTACCCATAACTCCTAATTCAAGAAATTACAGGTTGAATTTTTTTTTAATAAAAATAAAAAGTATATCAAATCCCATGGAAAAGACGAATAGTATTAAAACCTGGACGACCACCTTTGCTGAAAAGGATAATGTACCTAAGAAAACCAGCACTGCCTTTTCCCATTAAAAGGTGGATATCTAAGAAGCAGCAACATGGAGAAAGTTTTCAAACTTCGTTTTCCAAACTAGATTATGTGCAGCTGCCCACAGGCCTCAAGTTTCTCATTATTGCCCTACACTCTCACAGCACAGAGGATAATGTCATACAATAAATATAAAAACCTGAATGATTTTAATAGCTGTATCTTTATAACAGGAACAGACATTTTAACACCTATAATAATACAGTATATTAAAATCAACAGATCTATGCATATCACTCACTTTGACCATCGTCTCAGGTGAAACTTCTTCATCTGGAACCCAAAGCTTAGTTGTCTTTTTTCCTGGAAGCTAAACAAAAATTAAGGACTTTAAAACACAAATATACATTCTCATGTGTAATTAATATTTAGTGAATGAATGAAATTTTTATCTTCTGCAACAACAGTCATTATATATGACTATGTTTTCTGTTACTTACTCAAAAATGTTGAAAGGCCTGTCTTCACTAGCACCACAAATGAACCTTACACATCCATCACCAGCTGGTTCTTTGTAGGTGTGAGATAGAACCAACTTTAACCACTTATATATATATACTTCTTTACTCAATCCCCTTTAATCTACTGTTTCAATTATTTAAAGCAGTTGGCAAGGACTAAGATAAAAATCAGTGGAGCCAAAAAGTGTACAGATGACCCTTGAACAAGACAAGTTTCAACTGCACAGGTCCACTTATATGTAGATTTTTAAATGTACACCTGCTACAGTAATACACAATCCACAGCTGATTGAATCAGAAATGCCCCGTGGATAGGGAGGAACCACATACAGAGAGCTGACTACAGATTACATTAGGATTTTCCACGACACAAAGGGTTGGCACCTTTAACTTCCATGTTGCTCAAGGGTCAGCTATAGTTCATAAATGATGAAGGAAAAGGTATCTGCAAAAAATCTTGAGCAAGGAACAATTATAAAGGTTTGCAGAAGTAACAGAAAACATACATTAGTGTCTTCCTATTTAAATCCCACCAAAATGGCAACACACACACAGACGCACATGCACGTAAACACACACCAGTTAGCTGGGCCGAAAACAAAAGGGGCCCCCCAAAAAACCAAAACCAAAGAAAAATTTCGAAAAGCAAAATATACAGTAAAAAAATATTAACAGAGCTAAGAGGGCTTACAACTCCAGAAAAGCACAAAAGGAAACACCCTCCAAAAAGCTCTTTTTTTTTTTTTCAGCACAATCATAGTATAACCCTGAGATGATAAGCTGAAGGTATTAAGAAACGTGAATTTACAGTAGCAGCCAGGAAATTAAATAAGGTGACAAAAGAGCTGAACCCAATCTTGGAACACTGGAGATCCCATTTTTACCTCGACCTGACATGAGTAATTCCCAGTTGGAAACAGAAATCAAAAAGCACCTCAGGTAACCCTTTGGCAACAGGATAGGTAGCTCAAACATCCAGAAGGCAAACTCCCCAAACACACAGAGCTATTTACAAACAGCTTAAGAATTAATTCTTCAGCTGAGAAATGCCTTCAAAGTGTGAAGTGAAAATAATGAAATAAGGATCTCATTAGAAACATACTGATGAAATTTCTGAACTAAGAATATCCAAAAAATCTCAAAGCTTGCATGGAGGAACCTACCAAAAAAGAAACAAGAACCATACCAACTTCAGATTTCTTTACACACCAAAAAACAATATTCTGAATTTTCTGTTAGCCAAGTGACTTGAAAAATAGAATTCTAATCTTCAAGAATGAGGAGGAAAATATTTTCAGAAATCAGAGAGAAAGCTTCCAAATTACAAGCCATTTTGAACAAATTATTCAAAGATGCACTCCACTAAAATATTTAATTCACAAGAAAATTCAATCAGCATAAATTATTACAAACAGAAAACAAAAAAGTTATCATAAGTAAGACCACCAGACAGGTTCAAACAAAAAAGTTATCATAAGTAAGACCAATAGAGAGGTTCAAAAATAATAAATGAAACCACAACAGATGCAACACAACCAAAGACAGAAAAAATCTAAAACTAATGGACAAATACACTAGTCAAGATCTAAAAGCATTTAAACAGGATATGGATTTATATGGGATACTAATATACAAAGGATATTGATGTACTTTTCTTTAATCTTACATAAGATATAAAATTCATGAACATCTGTAAAACTAGCAGTATAATATCAAAACAAACCAAAACAAAAATGATTTTTTAAAAAAAGAACATCGAAAACTTCATCATCACAGCAGTAGACTTGAATATACCTCTTTCAAAAACTGACAGATGAAGCTGAGATGAAAAAAGGTAAGTACAGGAAATACATATAGAAATATAAGGAAATACAGAGATAAAATATTTAAGGATTAAAAAAATCAAAATTGGCCTTTCTCATAATTATGATGAAAAGAGAAAACAGTTTAGCAAGACAAGACGATATGAGATTAAAAACTACAAAATAATTCCCCCAATCCACCACAAAACAATTTTAAAAACTGAAATATCTTAACAAAGTTGTGTAAGAGAAATATTTAAATTTTCTTTACAGAAAAAATTATAAAATTTTAATGAAAGACAAATTGTAGATGAGCAAACAAAGCAATGGGAAAGAATAGAGGCTGTGTATGATATGAATGCTAGCACTGCAGATGACTGGAAGAAGGAGAGATCATTCCATAAATTCTGCTGGGAAAGTTGGTTACCCTAGTGGAGAGTAGAAAGAAATGGAATCCTTAAGTCACAGCACACAAGAAAAAGCAAATAAATCAATTCCAGATGTATTAAAATTTTTATGTGTGAAAAGAAAACTTTAAAACTTTTAGAACATATGGGAGACTTTTTATGACAATGGCATAGGAAATGATTTGTTAAACAAGATATAAAAGCATTAACTACAAAAGAATGATAAATGTAGTTAAATTAATAACTTTTGTTCAAAGGACACAATGAAGGGAGTAAAAAGACATACCATAAATGAGATTTTATGCATTTTATGAACATACTTCAACATGTACCTGAAAAAATATTAGTGTGTGTAAAGATTACCTATGAGAAAAAGACAACCCAAGAAAAAAAAGCAAAAGACATGAAAAGGAATTTCAGAAAGGAGGCAACATGAATGATGACTAGACATATAAACTTTTTTAGTAACCAGGGAAATGCAAATTAAGACTATACAGAGACACTTTTTTATATCTAATTAGATGGGCAAAAATTAAGAAATCTGACAATAATGTGTGTTATACACTGCTGAGAGGAAAATAAGTTTTAACAACCATCTTCAAAAATAATTCAGCAGGGGCTTCCCTGGTGGCGCAGTGGTTGAGAGTCCGCCTGCTGATGCAGGGGACACGGGTTCGTGCCCCGTGCTGGGAAGATCCCACATGCCGCGGAGCGGCTGGGCCCGTGAGCCATGGCCGCTGAGCCTGCGCGTCCGGAGCCTGTGTTCTGCAATGGGAGAGGCCACAACAGTGAGAGGCCCACGTACCGAAAAAAGAAAAAAAAATAAAATAAAATAATTCAGCAATAAAGTGAAAAGTTAAATATGTATACAAACTGATGTTCATCACTATATCACTCTTGTGAATGTAACCTGGAGAAATCTGTGCTCATATGCATCAGAAGGCCTCTGTAAGAAATTCACAGGAGCACTGTTCAAAAGAGGAAAGAAATGGAAATACTCCAAATGTCCATTAGGAGAATAAGAGACATTTCACACAGTGATATAATACAGAGTAATGAATGAATGAACTACAGCTAGATTTAACAACAAGGGTTATTCTAAGAAACATATCCATAACGATAATATCAAGTCACCCAAGAATATATACGGTATAAAATAACTCTTACAAACTTCAAGAACAAGCAAAATTAAACAAGTACATGTTTAGAGATAAATATATGGTAAAATGGTGTTTTGTTTTAGTTAGGGAATAATAAACCAAAATTCAACAAGGTGGTTACCTGGGGCAGGAAAGAAACAGGAAGAAAAGTTTGGAGAATAATAAAACCAGGTGCTAAGAATTCATGGGTGTTGAATCTTTGCAGGTAAAGTTTCAAAAGAGGAGAATAATCAAGAGATTTGAGTCTGGCACTAAAACTGCTTTTCTTATATAAATGATGGCTGATTCTGAAAGTGAAAAAGGTTAAAAGGTTGAGCAATGTTTTCATCACCATCACAGAGGTAGAAGGAAAAAAAAAGTGGAATTCTGAGTTCAATAAAGAGTAGAGTCCTTGTTAAACACCCTACACTTGTGGGGGGATCCCAAATAATAACATCCTAGACATAAAAGTGACCAGAAAAAGAATGAGCCTGTCAAAAACTGAAGCCTAGCTTCCAATCACTGCAGTCTTGACTGAATGAATGTGATCTGACAGTAGCTCAACTGCCTGTCAGAAGCAAAAATAAATCCTGTTTAGAAGAATTATAAAATCATCCAGAGCCTCAAATTATCTCTACAACTTTTTGTTCACAAAGTCTACAGCTCAATCAAAAATAACATGTGTGCAAGATAAGACTTGACCAAAAATCAAGCGAAAAACAGACAAGAGAAGAAGAGCCCCTGGAGATCTAGATATTGAGGCTAACACACATAAACTTTAACATAATTAAAGATGTTCAAGGATTAAATGATAAGAAAAAGAATTTCAACAGGGAACTAAAAACTATATTTAAAAACTGAAGGAAATTACAGAATAAAAATATATTAAAACTGCAATTAAGAATTCATATTTATAGGTTTAACATAAGATTAGACAAATCTGGAGAGAATGAGTAAATTCAAAGATGGGTCAGAAGAAAACAAAACTGAAGCATGAGCAGGCTGGAACAGGTATACCTCTGAGATACTGCAGGTATGGTTCCAAACAACCACAAGAAAGCAAATATTGCAGTGAAATGAGTTACACAAATTTTTTGGTTTACCAGTGCATAGAAAAGTTATGTTTACACTGTAACATGGTCTATCAAATGTGCAGTAGCATCATGTCTAAAAAAACAATGAACAACCTTACAAAATACAAAACAATACAAAAATATAAAAAGAAAAAGCTATTACAATAGCAACTATTAATAGTAATGACTATTTGGGTCTTTTGCCCATTTAAAAAAATTGGGTTGTCTTTTTGTTGAGTTGTAATCATTCTTTTATAGTCTAGATAAAAGTCTCTTATCAGATATATGATTTGCAAATATTTTCTCCCATTCTGTAGGTTCACTTTTCACTTTTTTTTTCAAATTGATAATTCTTCTTTTAAAATAGGAGACATAGGGCTTCCCTGGTGGTGCAGTGGTTGAGAGCCCGCCTGCCGATGCAGGGGACA